ATATATATATATATATATATATATATAAACTATACATATATGCATGTTAATTGTTCTTTTAATGAAGATTTATTGAGCCCATTCCATTGATTGATAGGAGTTCTTGGTAAAGGCTCGGAATCGCTTGCTTTGTCATGGATGGATGTGTGGTGACAAACCATTTTTTTGTTATTCTTCAGTTTGTGATGGTAAATAAGGAAGAAAAAGACAAAACGAGCATCAAGTTTGTTGTTCATTTGGCCTGGATGAGTTGAATTCTCACAGTATTATGAGTTCATGTGTTTCTTATACTTTTCGAAATTGCAGAACGAGCAATTTTCCAGGAAGGGAGGAGACACTAAAAACAGTTTTAAGTTGATGAGAATGGTAACCCACCAAATTGTATTTTTTATTTACAAAAAAAAAGAAGAAAAAAGAGATAAAAGTTTCAGACAACATTCAATTTGAAAGAATTGCATATAGGATGAGTCTGAAGATGCAAAATGAAGTATCATGTAATGAAATCGAAAAATACTGGCAACGTGTAGAGAGTAATCATGAGAAAACCATAATTAGCTTCATTTTTCTGTGGATGATGATGTGAAAGATAAATCGTGTTAGATGCACGAATATCTGGATTCAGCAAACCGTCAAATTTGATTTTGACATTCAAATGCGAGAATTCCGTTTGTGATTTCTTATCAAATTCAAGATTCGAACAAACGAAAGCCTCATTTCCCTCTTGCGTTTCCTTTCATTTCCGTCAGTTGAGAAGAAGTGAACATTCAAATAGACTTCTTAGAATGTTTTTCCTACTGTCATTTCATTTCAACTTTTGAAAATATTAAAACAGTGATAATCCTTCTTTTGAAGCTTCTCGCAATCTCTCTCTTAATCTCGCAAGCTTTTAGTTTTTTTTCTTTTTTTTCTTCCTCTTTCTCTCTATCTTCTTTCTTTCTCACCCTCCCAAGCAACATTTGCAAGAGAAACACGAAAAAGAAGGCGGAGAATATGCGGAGACCAGCGGATGCCATCAGACTCCGCCCATTCAGACATACTTGCCGAGTACTCTCTTCTCAAAGGCTTGTGCCCTACTTCTGCCGTGCTTCAGGCTCTGCTTCAGTTGAATTCGAGGTGATTCGGACCACGTTTTCTGCAAGTTTCAAATAATTTTTATAACAAGCATTCATATACACGACGTTTTGTTATGTGAGTTGTTGAAGCTTCTCGATCGAATAATTGAAACTTTTCTTTGTTAGAAAACTCCAGTCTCTACACCTCTATGTATTTATGATTAGATATAAGCCTCGTAATGATATTTCTCCTATGGCTCATGACAATTGCATCTCTCGGACAAGGTTCGTTTTCTTTTACTTTCAAAAAGTTTTCCCCGAAAACCACGGGCTCCTTCAAGCATAACAGAGCGTAAATGCAATCTCTAAATGCGGTAATCCTTTTATGATTTTTTGGACTCTTTTTTCTATTCATTTTTCTTTTAATCTTGGATTTCCATATAAGTGTATCCGTTGTCGTCATTTCATCTTTGTTCTTCTGAATCAACACATAATCGTTCACGCGAATGTCGCTTTATGAAATCCTTTAAATATCTTAGTTACCAAAAAATCTTTTGGATCTTAACAACTTTTGTTTGAAGTCATTTCCTTATGATCTCGACCAATGAATTGAGTCTGTCATCCGGCTTTTACCATTATGGCCATATAAGTCAGATGTTAGCTTAAGCATTGCACAAAATCTCTCTTTCCCTCTCTCCTTAGCCGTCTCTTCTCTCTCTCTTTCTCATCCAAGGCAGCTAAGGATTTTCTCTGTGCTCTTCTTGTGGAAAAAGATTTCTGGAAATATGCCCTGAGGGCATTTGTTTATTCAGCCAACAACCGTCGTTATTCTCGTCCTTACGCCTCTTTCTCAGAGCCATCTTCAAGCTGCTTCACTCTGGCACCTCGGTCTATGTCTTCTATTTTTCGACTTCAACTCCTTGTGGTGCTGCTCCATTCCCTACTCCCTCTCAGTCTCTTTTCTACTAACTCTCTTTTTTCATCTCTAGCCAGATATACACTTTCTTCTTATTCTAAACTATGACCCTGGGGGAACTGCGACGGAACCAGTCAAACCGTGGTCCTAGGGGCCTTAGTCAAATTTTTTATTCTTCAAGCCCTCCTATAGTAATAATGATAATGATCATTAGCAATACCTAGTTGTAGTTACAAGCTGCTCACAGGTTTCCACCGTATTTTCAAAATTATTTTTCTTTTTGAGATCAGTGACAGCTTGTCTTTCTTTAGTTTTACAAATCATAACTCTCAACATTCGACAAATGTGTTTGTGTTTTTTCCCCGCAACCCAAGTCAGAATGTAATCCTGAAACAAGGCTTTGGTGAAGTTCTTTCAAATGATATTCGAATATAAGGTCAAAATGGCTTGTTTTGTTAACCAATTTCACGATATTACTTAGTCTTTTGTTGGCTTTTCTAGTTGACTGAAAAGAGAAGAAAAAATTGAAATGAAAGGAAGAATAGGAATAAAGGAGACGTAGATGTCTTTCTGCTATTGTTGTTACAAGGGACGTGAACACTGAATTTGCGTCTACGAAACCGCTTAGGCCTTCGCTCAGGTAATGGGCCTCTTTACTGAATTCTGTCGTCCGTTCAAAGTTAGTGACGACAGCCACACATCCCAGTGACAACAGTTGCCATGCAGTTTAGTCGTTTAATGAAAAATGACAAGAAACTTCAAAATGACAAGAAAAGAACATCAAAAGAAATGATGAGAAACGTGTAATGTTAGCCTGAAGAGAAAAGCAATTTGTATCAAAAGCTTTGCGCATCTCGAAATTTTCAAATGAAAATGGATGAAATTCGTTTTCATGCCTTTCATGGGAGAGAACATCAAAATTTGAATTTGCTCATGAGTGATTGGAACAAAAAAAAGAGATTAGTGTTCATTAATATGAATATATTCGTATATAAGAATGTAGTTTTATTCTTATAAGACATTCTAGCTTAAAGAAATGGATTATATGAAGCCATATGATGAGAAGAGATGAAGAGAGCTTACTGAAGAGAGAGTCAAATAAGATATCTGCTCGTCTATTCACATAAACCCATTTATGAAACTATTCGTAATCCATGTTAATTAATATCATTTTTTGCATTCAAAAACTTCTCTTCCCATCAATTCTTCTTCCAAATAATTGTTATTTTTCTCTTTTTCTTTCTTTTCTTTAATGCTGATTTCAACATCAGAAGCCGCTTTTTTTCTTGTGTCGCAACTAAAAAACAATTTGTATTTCAATTTCTTAAATAGTTGCAACAAGAAAGGAGTCATTGAAGGGTGGAAGAGATTTTGACCTTTTTTGAAGCTAAAATGATCATAAACGGCCAACGATTTTCTAGTGGAAAAAAGCCCATTAACTACTCAGACAAGCGGATCTGTTTAGCATTGTGTGGAATGTGAGATGTTCATTTGTTTCCTCATTCTCAATTGACTTATACCAGAGAATGAGCTGAAATTAATTTTGACCCACTATGACCTTTAACAACTTGCGTTTCATTAGCTTCGACATGTAATTGTCATATATCATGTTTTAAGCTGCCCTACTCATTGCTAAAAGACTATGTGCATGTATGTGAGTGTGTCTGTGCGAAAGCATGGATATGAGGACAGATCTTGTCGGTTTCCTGTCCCAATTTGGTTTGCCAGAGTTGGACGATAATGGCTGAAATGGCCTCCTGGGAGTTAAGCACATCATGCTGAGAGAGATGTGCAAGGACAGAGGGAGAAGAGAAGTATATTCAACGGATGGATGGCTGAATTAGAAAGCCATGTGATTATTGTGTTTTGGAGGAAAAAAGCGTAGAACGAACGAAATTCTGTTCAGATTTCTTGTTTAATCTTTAATTGCATTAAACAGTTGACAGAATCAAAACTTTCGAATCGAACACACAGCGTTTGCTTGAACTTCGTCTATTCCTCAACAACTCTTTTTGATGGAAGGAATTTTTTTTTTAGATAAGAAGGGAATAACGATGAAGTCATCCAATTTCATGAGTTGACGAGTTTAAAATAAAATTGAATCATCAGACTTTTTGAAGAAATTTTCAGTTTTTCTCATTTCATCTCCCACGAGACATGCCTTTTTTGGCTTTTCTGCCACATTTCATCAATAATAACATAATAATCATCCATTTTCTTCTGAACAAAAGATTTTTCTCGGAAAAAATGTTGCAAAAAAAAGGAGAAGCAGAGCTTTGCTGCTTTGGAGACATACTGTCTTTGAAAAGCCTCTAATTGGAATTAAATCAGATTTGAGCTCGACATTCCTTCAAATATAATTTTCATAAATAATTTTTTTTTGTAATTCACCTAAACAGAATTCCTAAAATAACTATTCATCAGTCAAAAATTTGTGTAATCATGGTGTATTTTGTTGGATTGGCTTTGTATACCAGCAATTGGTATCCGTATTGTCATCTGCACAACGCCATAAACAAGTCACAAGAAAGGAGAGAATCATTTACTTTGCATAAGCCTCAGAAGAATTATTGTGAACAAAAAACAGAACAGCAATAAGGAATTCTATCTTTTGAATGATTTTTTAAGTAAAAGAACAGCTAGTGCCTTGAAGGCATTCAGAGAACATTACAATCTGGATGATGATAGAATATGTCATATTTGATTCATTTGAATTATTATTTGACAGCTGACTTATTCAGGCCTTCAATCGTTAGGTTCATGAGCTGAACTGAATTTTTCAAATTTCTCCTACACAAGATGAATAGGATAAAGCTTTAAATAGACAAATGCTAGATTATCGTGTTCGAGTGTCATATGTAAATGGTCATCTTTCTGCTTTCCCTCTACAACCGTTGTTATTGATTCCTTTTTTTGGGAACTGAGGAGAAAATTCTTCTTTTCTTTTTCAGCTTCCAGTAGCATTACTGATCTCAAAACTTTTCTTTCATCGGAATCGTTCACCTTTTCTCATAATCCTTTTGTCTTACAACAAAAGAACTGAGATTCTTCTCCATCCCCAGCATTTTCCTTTTTTTTCCTCCTCATTACTCTAATGATTACCTTGACAACTGAAACTGCTCGTTTTCATGTCATCTGAGTCATTCCTCGGTCAGCACATCAAACTATGGAATAATGATTGAAGCATTTTTTGGTCGAAATCTTCTACTAGCTTTAATGACATCAAGCGGGACAATTGAAGAATCGAAGACATAAAAATGAAATGAAATTTCCTGAATTTGGCAACAAAAATGGTAGAAAAAACTATTCCAATTGGTAGAACTGTGGCAATCAAGTTGGGCCGGGTAAAATGCTCTTGATTGATGTTTAAGATGAAGTAGGAAGAGATGTTAAAATTGTCAAATTGGCATCAGTTCAAAGTGGATATCAAAGACAAATGTGGTCAAAAAGAGAAAGAGAGAAAGAGAGAGTTAGTATGTTTATGACTTGGGCTATTCTCTCGGGTATTGGCCGTACTGACCACGTTGTCCATCTAGATGTCGTCTGATAATTCAGGCAAATAGTACGGCTTTCGAATGGAAGGCGAGCCCAGCAAAACAGATGTGAAAAGCGGATGAAGTAAGGATGGGGAGGGGAAACTAGCGGAAAGAGAAGTGAAGAATAAAAAGGATGTGCTGAGATATTACATAGATGCTTCTCTTAACGAGCTTTTACTTAAATGTGAGCACAATCCATGAGTGGACAAGGACAGGATTGGTTGATCACGCAATCCAGCCTCTGATGACTAATCTCCGGATTTCGGGAAGGAAACGAGAGTTGAAGAGAGGAATAGAGTTAAATATAGGAAAAGGAAGAAATCCTTCAGTTAGTAAGTGTATTAGATTTTCTTATCTTCTTAAGTTGACCACATAAAACTATAAGGACGATTTCGAGCGAAGCTTCTTGTTGACTTATGGAAATACATTAGAAGCTCATATGAAATTCTTGTTTGACCCCCCAAGCAAGTTCTCAAAGTATCTCGTCTAACGTGGGAAGTTTGTTCTATATTCTCGGAAAACATAACCGAATTTCATTTCTCATATTCTATTTGGAGAGGAAGAGAGAAAAAATGTGTTTCAAAACTGAAAAGTATAAGTATGTAAAGTATTTGGGGATTGACAATAGTTCAAGCATTTCCTCGTTTAATCTTCAGATGCATAGTTTAAGAAATTTCATTTTGAAGTTTCTTTAGCGTTTTGCCTAAGTTTTAACAAATTTTCACATTATGATCACATTAAAAGAGATGGATAATCCAATAAGATGGGTAGAATGTGTCGATCATTAATCTAATCCACCACTTGTCTTTTCATCGACTTTAACAATGATTAGAATCAATATAGAAAACAATCAAAACATTGAGGGTTTTTTCCACACTTTATTGAATAAAAAAATTCTAGCAGAAGTCGTAAATTAGCATATTGGGTTTGAGTTAATACGTGTCTTCCCACGTGAGCTTTTCAGTTTAACATGACGACACAGCTCAGAACGGTTGTTTATTAATTGTCCCCTCATTCATTAAAATAAATTAATGCTTCGCTAATATATTGTTTAAGAAATAAGATTATATAGCAAATGATTTGAATATTCAAATTTATTTTCAGTTGGCAGTCAAGTAAAATGTTTCTGTGACCGAGAGTCTTGTCAGGAAAATTTGTTATGTCAGGGTGAATTTTGTTTTATTGGATTACGACGTGATGAAAATGGTAAGTTTTCTTTATAGCAATTGAGATAAGATGTATAGAGAGGAAGATGAAGTTTTAAATATTTATTTTTACAAACATATGGTTAGAGAGCATTGCATGATGAATCACTCACTTGTGGTGACGAAATGATAATCCTCTCTTCTTCTAATCATTATAATTTCACAATAACTTTCATTTCGAATATGCACAAAGACTGTATCGTTCACTGATAAATATCAGAAAGTAATGCTTTTGATGGGAATTTGTTGAAATTATTTCAAAAAATAAAAAAAATGGTTATTTACTTGATTTCGTGAGGACTCATGTTGTGCCACTCAATATATTCGGAAGTTCTTAATCACTCCAATTCTATAAATTCCAATGAAAGTCTTATTCAATGTACAAATCTTGTTTATGCTAGGTGCAAGATAGGAGAGAAAATGCTATTTTCATATTTAAAAAAAGAGATTTTCGTACACATTCACTACTAACTGTTCAGGGGATTCACCAAGGTTACGTCAGCACTGTGGATCAACGAGCGAAATTCCATTTCTTGGAGGCTCTCATAGCAGATGTGAAGAAAGGATAGATAGTTGGCAAGAGGTAAACTTTCTTCGAATTAAACCTTCTTATTGTTTTGCATCTTCTTCAGGTTTGCAAATGTGAAGAAGATTTTTGCAATACTTTTGCGTATTTACGATCATCCATTGATTCAAGACAAGACCATCTGAAGGATCATGTAACGTTTGCAAAACAAGACATTCCGTACTCCTCATCACATAATAATCGACCAGTAAGTCTCACTGACTAGTTAATTAATAAAACTTTAATTAGATAGATAGATATATTATTCTTATTTTGTACTTAATATCTTCTTTTTATAATATTCATCTTCTTTTCAATATTACACTCTCTCATACTAAACAACCTCATATCTAATTAATAATTCTCTTATAACATCATATAGAATGATGGGGGGACACACGACATTCTTCTCCTACATTTCTATCTCTCTGTTGTGTGAAGCGAATTCCACGTTCATCTCAGATTTTGCATTTCAAACTGGGGAGAGCTTTTTTTTTTCGAGCAAAAAAAAATTTTGTCTCAGAGTATCCTATTCAAGCCACATTTCAATAGTTCTATAGTCTGCTTTATGGGCATATCGCATGTTTAACATTCTGCTCATATCTAGTCATGACTTTTCAATTCCAAATTATGAAAGAGAACATTAATGGAATAATTAATATATCAGGTACTATACATTATCTCGGCTGAGCAAAACATTTCATTGAAAAAAAATTAGAGGAATAAGAAGAAAAACTTACCGTAGACTTTCATAGTATTCTATTCTACAGAATCTTGTTTTTCGAAAAAAACAGAAAAGAATGAAGTAACGAAGAAGGTTTCTTCTTGAAAACGACTCGTCATTGAGCTTCAATACAGTAAAAACTCAATTCATAATCTACTTTCAGGAATCGGTTCCACGGAATCAGAACTCGTCGCTCATTGTTCTATTAGTCATTATTCCACTCTCTGTTGGCGGGTTCGCTGTATGCTTAATCTTTTTAAATTATCATTGCAAGATGTGCTAGCTTCATTTCTTTTGATCATGTTCGTTAGGTTATTAGAACGTACTTGTTTCCGCAAATGAGAGTTTTATTCAAAAATAGAACTTTTTTTTAATTTTCTGAAAACACTATGTACTTAACCAGATGTCCCTGTTCAGGACCGGTGAAACTGTGATATATTATGTATTTACTTCTCTTTCTTTTATATTTTACAAAACATATTAAACGACCAAACTAGTCAATAAAATATTCTGAAATGTTTAATTTTCAACGAAATAGAAGTTGGGTTCTGAGATTCACAGGCTTCGTACGTCAAACTCTCCATTCGGGTCACACGTCGCGTCATGCATCGGTATTGCATGCAGTTCATTTTCATTTCTTACTCAATCTGTCAGTGAGCGGCTTCCACTACCACTTTTCATTCCCTTCAACCAAGTGAGGCAATGTCGGTCGTGCACGTGACGTGAGTTTATTTTCACTGTCCAACACAGTTTCCGGTTGCTTTCGCTGTTGTTTTTATTTTTCACAATGCACCGCAGCTTTAGTTAGTAGCTCTCATGATTAAATTCGTTGTCGACTGATATGTACAACTTCTGAAGTTTTATAAAACATTTATTTTGAACTGACTGTGAGATAACATATTTAGCATTGCAAAAATAACAGTATGCACATGTTCAAACGCATAGACATAATCATACCCAGTAGTAAAATCTAAAACTTTTCAATGAAATATAGAAGGATTCAAGAAAAGTTACAAATAAAACGTCTAAGTTTTTCTATTGGCAATATTTATTTGGTTAAGGCTTTGTTGAAAAAATGTCGCGGATAGAGCAATGTAAGCCGCTTATTGGCTTTTACGAGCAGTGGTAGTGGAAGTTCTGTTACTATTCTGAAACAAATCGTTTTTCATAGTTATTAAATACACGCCTACAGTGATAGTGTCAGAAAGTTGAATAGCTCCTCCTAAAGCACCAAGTTTTCCGGAATTGGGTGAAATGAAGTTAACCCAGACGTACGTAACGGCATCATCAATCTGAAAAAGTATAGTTTCAATTCAAGACTACTCCTTCTAAATCCATACCCAGCCACCAGCTTCCCTAAGATTTCCAGAATATCTAGAGTAAGCCCAGACACTCAAGGCTCCGATAACAAGAACAAGAATTGAGGAGAAAATACCTGAAATAAAAATTAAACAATTCAATTATAGTTTTACTGATACCGGCAATGGCATCGAGTCCAATAAGCTGGAAGAACTCTTGGAAAATATAATCAATGATCATGATAATAACGAGCACTGATGGAGTTCTCATAGATTTGAACAAATTCTTTCCATTGTTAACCTTGATGTATTTGTCATATGATTCCTAAAAATCCGAAATGGAATCGGCTCAAAAACCAGGCTATCTTACGATAAGATCTTGCTCCAAACGTTCAAGGAAAGCTAAACTGAAATCAGTTCCTCCCATCTTTCTGGCGTTTCTGAACTCTCGGATGGCTTCGTTCTATGAACATACATTAAAAAAAACATATTCTTGATTAGAAAAGTACCCTGCATCTTTCATGTTCATTGCTCAACTCGCTAGTACTCATGTATGGGGTATCTCCACCACAGATCTGAAGAAAGACATTGGAGAACCGTAGTTCAAAACTCGAAAACCTCTTCCATTCTCTTCTCATACACAGCACGAGCATTTGCAACGGCGGCCAAGTTATTAGCTTCAGCAGTAGCCTGAATATTCATTTTGTAACATAAATAGCGATGGTATATACCATAAGCATTGTTTTAGGTTCAGGAAGTTTTTCTCCTTGGAAAACTTTGACGTAAGCCTAGAAAGAACATAACTTTACGAAAAATGAACAAAGTTTGATTACCTTGAAGTATTCAAGAAGCTCACGACATGTGATTTTCTGGCCATTAATTTCTTTGACTGTGATATTATTAGAATCCAAAAGACGGGGTACAAGTATACTTAATTGTTGTTTAAATTCAGGTTCGATTTCTGCAAACAGCTTTAAAAAGATTGTCCTTGATCACAGTAATACCGGTAAGTTTTCCATCAAATGCAGGATTAGTAGCAATCTTCAAACCAGGGTGAGGTAAAAGGAAACTGTTAATTTGAGCAAAGCAGCTCTTGATATGTTTTCTAAGTTGTTGAAGCTCTGAATGCTGTCTGTCAGAAACCTACAAACGATAAATTAAAGATTCACATACTGTTCAACTTACTTCAAGTCTTTTCTCCAAAACTCTCTGACCTCCATTAAATCCATATTCGGCTTCATATGGAAATGCCCAATCACGAACTAGGAACATCAGATTCTACGATAATCAGATTAATTCAATTCATTAAGGCAACACATACCTGGAAGGCAGCAGTGTCATTTTCTTCTTGTGCAAGACGCCCGTATTCAGTGAAGAGATGAAGATGCTGCAGATCATCTTCCTGAATGTTCTGGGAAATGTTGTAAATCTGGAAAAAATAACTTTCAATTGTGATAACTGCGAAATTTCACTTGAATCGAAGAGATCATGGTTGAAAGAGCAAAAATGGTGGCGCAGTCCTTAACAGTAGATTGAGAATCAAAAGCTCCTTGTGTATCCATTAAAAGAATAACAACCTATGAAATACAAATAAACTATCAAAATTTATGACGGTCTCCTACGTCTTCACCATTCTTATCTTTCAGAATGAATGGGGAACTCCAAATGAGGATACCGTTCGTATCCCTTTCAGAACCCCCTCTCCAAGAAAACCCGACAAGAGGCTTTTCTTCTGATAGCCATTCATTATCTGAGTCTTCGGGATCTTTAAAAGGAATTTACTTTTTTGTACACGTGTACTTAGACTCACGTTGACCCTTCCATTGCAAATACCTCAAGAAAAAGTTGAGCAAGAAACTTTTTCCTTTACGATAAGCACCAGCAACTCCAATTACGGCTACCTTAGTTAATACAATGAGAATTTACAAGAAAAGTGAACAACTGACTTTCTTATCAATAATTCGAGGATTCAAAAGAATTTTCTCCAATGCTTCGTTAGCTAGTTGAAACGAGTGATGTTCACCTTCAACAACTTGAACAACACGGACGGCATGTGGTCCAGTGATTTCCACTGGAGCCGTAGCACTTTCGTCCTGAAAAGGAAAAATAAAACATGAAAAGGAGAATCATATGCTAGTAATCAATAATAACTCTTCCAAAAAAACATACTTCGCTACCCAAATTACTGAAGTCGGTAGAAATATGGCCACTCATATTACTGAAATCGAAAAAGTGAAAGACAAACTTTGAGAGCTTAAAGCAAGAAATAAAAAGAAAGGAAAACAAAAAAAATAAGGTAAGCAGTGAGAGAGATGACACAGTGTTAAATCGAAATGATCAAAAACAACACTTAGGAATCACATGAAAGTAGAGAGAAGAAGTTTTACTCAATTGTATTTCATGTTCAAAAGGTTAACACGTTGATATTCAAATTTGATTAAATAAATGAAAACAAAATGATGGAAGAAGCATTTCCAAACTGCACCCTCTTGAACAACACACACACACACCATACAACATAGAGAGAGAAAGATACATACGAAGAAGGGAGAGAGTGAGAGAAAGACTGGCATACACACATACACATCAGCCGCTACAGCAGGAGAATGATTTCGCGTTTGAGCATTACACAATAACTATATTTATTGATTTTCTTCGTAATTTCAAAAAAAAACGTTCAAAAGTACAAAGTATTAGTAAGATTTCTTTTATACAATATTTGATATGTAACACAAGCAGATACCGTTCTTGGTAACCAGTAATGCTATGCTTAAGCGTTTCAACTCTCGAAAACTTGATCCCAATTGGTAAAATACTCATAGTGATCATTGTTTCCTTCTGAGAACGAATCGTTCTCATCGAAAGAGTCCTGATGCTGTACTTCTTTCAGTTCTGGAAGGAAGTGGATTTTATATATGAATATTCAAAAATGAAACTAACTCAGAGCGTTTTTCATAAAATCAGGGAGAGGGAAATCGTTTGAACGTGCTCCTCGACATTCAGGATCGAAACACTTTTGAACAAAACTTCCCCTATGAAGAGTATTTGAATTATTCATATTTTATTCCATGTACCTTTTGAGGTCAACTGTCCAATAGGATCCATTGCTTTTATGCTCTCGGTTGATATTGAAGCAAAATCGACAGTTTCCCGGCTATAATTAGATCTCAAAGAATAATTGAACTCTAATGTATCGTACATAGTATGTAACGGTTTCTGGATTTCCATCAACATCATGCACCTTCCATTGCCGAATGAAAACATTTGATTTCCACTTGCGCAGAATCATCAAAATAAAATCATCCAATTGAGGGAAAGGTGAAGGACCACATCCTTCCCGCGACGAATCATATTTCGAAGAGCTCGAATTTGAATCTGAAAAGTGAAACTCACAAAGTCAAACGAGGTAACATACTTTTGGTAATTGGATCTCCAACTTTCTCTTCTATTTTTATCAAAGGATACTTGTCAAAGTTTGCAGGAATACAAAGCGAATCATAGAAGATTACATCATCTGTTGGTTTCATCTTTTCTGGAAGTCATCATAAGAAAAAAATTTGAAGAGATGAACCACACCGTAAAACTTGCAAAGTTTTGAAACTTTCAAAACTCTATCACTGCCCAGTTTTGAGGATAAGAACAAGCGGAAATTTCTATTCTTCGTGTATACCGCAGGATCAATTATTGTAACCTCCTGAAAATAAATACAATCAGACCGTTTCGAATGGCATACGTAACCTTCTCTCCTGACGAATCGACTAACTTGTGAGGAGAACTTGCTTTGAGTTTCTCTGTCAGATCATGGCAGAATCTTCTCAGAGAAGCCTGAAAGTAGGGATTCATGTGATCATGACGGTTTCTTGGTTACCGAGTTAGGGAAGAGACTTCCATCATCAAAATGACAAATCACATGAGCAGAGAATTTACTTTCCGATGATGAGTCAAGTACCAAAAAATTCTGTATATATATATTATTAAAATCTTACAGATTGGAATTTCAAACTTTCTCCGGGGTTATGCTGATGTCGAATGTACTCTTCAGTTCGTCTCGAACTACTTCACAGAAATGACTATACATGACCTGAAGCAGAGCTTGATGTTTGATTCGAACTTACGCTTACCTCTTCGTTAATATCAGGATTGGCATCCTTGTAGAATTCGAGATCAAAATATAGTCTACAAGGGAACTCTTCATAAAGCAGTTCGTATATATGTCTCTGAGATTTCACTTTGTACCAAAGCCAGAACCGTGATAGCGTGGTTACCAAATACCTTCTCTCTCCTTCTGAATATTTAAAACGGTTTCTAGATTATTCAACAGAAATTAGACCTGTTTTATCAATGAATTCATAACTGAAAATTCGAAGATTCCGATGAAGTTGCTCACTCGACTTGAGAAACTCAATAGCTAATCTCTGTCTGGAGAACGTTTCGAAGCAACCCAAACTTTGCTCAACTAGGGAGTCTCTTCTGGATTGAGCCCGCGTTGGAGTCTGTAGAACAACAATTTCATTATTTTGATTAATACATGATAACCTTCTTCAGAGAACCTTCATTTTCAAATGAGTCGTCAGGGTCTTCCTCCTTCTTCTTTTTGTTTTTTGGGGATCCATAAAACCATTCGTCATTGAACTCAGTCATTCAGCTCTGTAACCGACTAGTAATAGATAATCATCTAACATCCAACAACCATATACAAATTTGATGAAAAAAGACTCTTTCATTTCATTAAAAATTTGAAACAGCGCACCCTCTATCTTCATGACAGCGTGTGACGCGGGAAAATGAGACGAAATGACGTTTCTTAAATTTAAAGTGTTATAAAGGAGAGATAATATATTCAGAAACGGAACTCGAAAGGAGAACTTCGATAGAAAAACATGAAATCTTACCAATATATATATACATATATATATATGGAATGCCATAGAACTGTGCATAGATAGATCAGACATGTCGAAACCCGACCGAGATCACGAAACTTTTCGAAAAAAATGATTCGGGGTGGTATATTAGCATATATCCCGTAATAATTAACTTTTCAATCGATAATATCGTTTCCTCGTTTTGATGAGAATAACATGCAGACTCGTAGTTTGAATTTATACTTATGACTGTTTATCGATTTTCTAATAATATCCAAAGTGAGTGGGAGTGATTGTTATCATGTCCTCACTATAAATGGTTTTTCTTTTGTTCTAATATTCGTGTTGTTCATAATAACTATCCGTTACAATTTGAATATTGTTGACCACCTGCAATGGAAGGAAAATTCACAACAAGTCGAAATTCCTTCCTCACCTGGCATAAATAGCCTTCATCTTTACATTATGATTTAAAAAAAAAACTAATGAATTGTCCGTCTGTTGAGATTTAGTGCCACTGCCATATATGACTAGCGTTCCTCTGCTAATTTCTAATATGAAATGAATTGAAAAGGTTTTATCTAATAATTCTTCGTCTCGGCCATCTGCACTTCTATTCTCTTAATGGGAGAGTATTGAGAATGTACATCTGGTCAGTTTTGAGACCTAACCACTAGGATGCCCAGATTATTAGATGCATATGAAATAGATCGGTTCATTGTGTTGGAGAAAAGAGTGTACTAGACGAGCAGATGACAAAAATAATAGAATGTGTGAGTCCTGGTGCGGTTAGGATTGATTGAGAAAACGGCCAGCTGCTCTTCAGGACTACTGACGACAGTCAGCCTCCGTTGACCTCTGCTAACCCTCTTTATCCGGTCATTCAACCACTGTCATTGTGCCTGCTTCACATCAGTGTTGTTTTTTCGAACACCCCAAAAGCATTCTTCTATTTTAAGTAGAAAATCAGGAAACTTTTTTCCGGTCTTTCGCACCCGATCTAAGATTCGTTTTTTCGTTTCCATTTGTTTTCGTATTTTGTTTAATTTTCGAGCTTCTGCCCTTGAGCGTTTGTCCTTCTATGCGAATTGTGACGGATGTTTTTTGTTTTTATTTTAATTTCTGAGGATATGTTTGATCTCCTGGCTTTCATGATCTTTGAACAATAAAGTTTGTGATCTTACGAGTTTTAAATAAGGAATTTGAAGTAAAATAAATAATAATGTCATATGACGAAGCAAGAATGTGCTGAAGCTTCTGACGAGATTATAGTTCGATTGTCCTCAGAGTTCCCAAGATAGAGATCAGAACATATGAAATAAAAGCCGCTTTCACTTTCACTTCTGCTTCTGTACTTCTAGTTGAGATGTGAGTGTGTAGCTAGTACCATTGCCTTCTCATTGTTTATTTGTTTTCTCTTATAGTAATTATACAAACGAATTGCTTGAGCTCTCAAACTTATCAATCATTTCCAGCAATCAGTTTGTACTTTTGTTTTTAGTTCTATGTAAATAAAGGAATTATCCTCCCATTTATGTAAGTCATTTGTCATTTATCCACAAAAAAAAACTCCAAAAAGAAGGAAAAGTATTCATTATAATCGGCTGTTTGTGCATAAAAGTCTTTCCGATTGTTTTTCTCACTTCATTGAAGTCTTTTTAAGCTATTTTGGTTTGCTTCGAACGGATTGTAATCTCAGTCGTCGAACTATATTTCTTCACAAGGCTGTCTTTGACCGACTCAGAGCAAACAGGCAACACCTCGTGTGCATCTTTCTCTTCTTCTTCTTCTTCTTCTTCTTCTTCTTCTTCTTCTTCATATTCACTTCTTCCTCTGACGTTGCCCTCTTCTGTATGAACAAATTGTCTTTTTTATCAACAGATTCTTTTTGTTGTTTCTCATATCGAAAAGTATTATTAGAGCTATCCCAAAAGTGCATATGTCTTGAGTTCCATCAACGAAACATTCAGCTGTTTCCTCCCCTTCTAATTATTCGTTCGTTATTCGTATTTCATGAACAAAACGTTTTCATTTTTGAGATTTGTTGTTCTTTCCCACCGATTTTCTATTTTTTTTGTTTCTTTTAAATCGTTGAACAACAAATTTCGTAAATTATATGTAAGCAATCAATCCTCAACGATCATATTGTAAATTGTAGGTGTGTTTGGCCATATATAGAGAGAGAGTTTTATTCCTCGCAACGTTATTCAATTTATATCAATCGTTTTACTATTATTCCGTTCTCTATTCCATATGTGAACAAGCACCCTAAAGGATAAAGTATTGCTCCATCTCCCTCATCTCCCTCTAGCTCTCTCTTATTCCTTTTTCTCTCTTTCTCTCTCTCTCTTCCATTAGATTTTCCTTCAACTCTCGCCGTCTTCTATTCTTGGCTGTCAGAGAATTGCATATCGATCGTAGGCTTGAAAGTCCCTGAGCCTGCCAAGCCGCTTTTTATTGTGAAATAGTTAATAACTCTTAAATACAGAACCTTTCCGTCCAATTTGCCATTCAGAGTACTGTTTTCCAAGTTATATTGCGCATCTGTGGGAAGTTTTTATTACCCGTATCTGCTCTATTTTTGTATTTCTTATCAACGTTGTTGCAACACGTGCTTCCCTATTTACTTATAACATAGTCTTTATTATTTCATTTACTTTTTTTCTTGTTTTTCTTTACTAAGTTAATGTTTTTTAGATGACGTTCCTAGCTTCTCCCTTATCTGAACACTCAGCTTCAGCTCAGTCCTCTGCTTTTGCGGAAATGGACTATCCAAAACCAGTAAATGATAGAGTTTCCCGCAAAAATTCTCCTTCTATCACTCCTGCGATAGGATTGAATGATCTTCCTGATAGAACAAAACTATTAAAGGATGATTGGCATTGGATGGACGGCTACAAGGTTTGCACTCAGTTTTTATGTTAACATTACCCAAAATTGGTTTAGAGAGAACCACAGGTGGCTTTACCAACATATACCAAGGCTCTTATACATCCACTATTTGCCTTTGGAACTGCTTCTATTCGAGGAATGAAGGTAAGCCATATGGTTCTTATTTTCTTAACCTTTTTCCATTTTCAAGGCATTGACACCACAAGTAACAGCCTATTGGGAAATAAAAGCTCACGGTTTCATCTTTGGAACTTCTGTTCAGTTTGGAGTTGGAAATTTGAGCGCTAGGGTAAATAATTTGTTTTGTAGACAGTTCCTCCTTGCTTCTTAAATCCCGTTTTTTCTTAAAACCCCAAGAAGAAATTTAAACAAAGATGACTAAATATGGATTTTTTGACCTACGAGAAGCGAACAGGCCTCCTCAAATCTTCGAAGCTTTTTTTTGTATTCTTTTGTTATCCTTGACTAGGACTTTCTATCTTTATTTGAAAGCCTTTTCTTTACTTTTCCTCCGATTGCAAAGGTCATGTAGGTCATCATAATATACAAACTTATCTCATTTGCTTTCTATAATTTTCCTTATTTGCTTAACTCTTTTTATGGGACCGAATGACCGGAACTACTTATCCCTTTCACTTGTTCTGTCAAAATAATGTGAGGGAATGTTATCAAGAAAAACTAGGCCTTTGGCTGAGAAATACTCCCCCTCACTTATTGAGCTTTCTTTTGAAGCCGTTTCATTAGGGAAGCACTGATCCCATACATAGAATGTTCCATTATACTAAGATATCAATTCATACTAGTTCAAGATCAAAAATCAGAATTCAAAAACAATCATTCTTTGAATTTCAGACGTATTTGCCATCTGCCTTCGCCGATATTTTGGGAGAAGATAGGAATTCTTATGCTATTAACCATCACGGGCAAGCTTTTCATGGAGGAGTCAGTTTCCCGTTTTGCCGTTCATTGAGTAATTCCAAAAAGTAATTGAGAAACTCTATTGGTTGCTTTCATTTCATATTTCCTTTTCAGCGTTGTTGTTGGAATGCTGTTTGACGGCCCTACCAGAAGTCTAAGCTATTTCATCAATGGAGTATATGCAGGAACACCTTTCACTGAAATGGATTTATCTCAAACTCTCTATCCAATGGTTTCAAGGTTTTTAATCCCCTTTTTGAAATCCATAACGTTTTACGTTTTCAGTACAGCCCAACAATCTCAATATGAATTAACTAATCGTGCTTCATTGATGCATCCGAAGACTCTGTTGAGTTCCTGCTTAACTAAGGTTTCTGGCTTCTTTGATTGAATCTATTTTCAACCTCATCTTTACAGGTCGCGTCATACAGGATAGCGAATGTGAATGATCTTCCTATTCCTAAAAGCCTGAAAGATCAGTTACTCTTCAGAAAACGCTATTCCATTTATACTGGAAGAAGAGTCATATATCGCAGTTATTTCCCAAAAACTCGCGTGGCATTCAAATAATTATCATCTCATAATTATCTCTCATTTCTATGGTCTAGTCAAAAGCATTTTTCTACTCATTAAATCTATGAAGATGCCATATATGGAGGAATGGAATTTGGAATATTTCTCATTTCATTCTTATGTACCTATTCCGAACCTATCATAACCCTCTTTAGGATTTGTTTGAACGGGTTCATTCTTTAGTTTTTCTTTAAATATTTAAATTGGTCTCACATCAGTCGCTTCAATACTTTCATATTAACAGCTTTAAACGAGTTTCAAATAATATTTCATTACTAGTCATTCTAAAGCTTTGAGCTATTACCAAAGATGTGTACAGTTGTTTGATTCAAGCACGCATTATTTTTTTTTCTAATAAACAATTGGTTTCATTCTTCGCATGTTCAAGTAGAGACTAACATTCAGTTCCTGGGGGGCAAAACTCTTCGAAGTTCGAATAATCCTGATTTTAAAATCCTAAACATCTAAAACCACTAGTGAAGGAACTGGGTTGAAAAGCGTGTACTTAATATGTCCCTTATACTATTCTCGTTCAATAATCTATAAGGAAATGATATTAGAATCATTTGAACCAAGCACTAGTCGACTTAGAAAGTTCAAGACGAGATTGGAATGATCAGCATAATGCTGTTATAAAATGGACGGCTGCTAACAGGAAACCTAAAAAGAAAAGTACCGATTACTTCAGCTGTTTCCCATGGGTGAGGACTGCAGTATTAATATTTGAATGTTTCTTAGTGCATTGTAAACTAGTGCAATATGTAGTTTGATCTAAGTCGATATCCTCAGCAGTTTCATCGTTTAGGTAGGATAGGCAGTTTATGGTCGGCTAATCTGTAATCATTTTTTTTCATAACAGACAATTGAGAAAAACTTCACAGTAACGATGGTGATACGCCTTGAATGATCCAGGGACTGAACAGTTTCTGATCTCTTTTTTCAAACTCTGTAAGCAAAAAGACATCAAAGAGGAAATAATGAGACATTTTTCCTGTGGGATACTTTCCGTCCTTATTCACCATGTAGAGATCTCCCAGTTCCGGTATTTCCACATACATGATTCTTTTTACATTGTAGTCAGAGAATAATTAGAAAAGAACTAGTGTTTACAACAAAGAGAAAAACACCTCAATGCTTTTCTCGAGTATTTTAATTGAAGGTTTTAGTTTAGGGAATCAATCTACGATTCTCTTCAGTGCCACTTGTATCGCCCACATCTTTCAATCATGTGTGTATTCAGCTTTTACCTTTTCATGTTGCATCGTTCTACGTACCATTGAGTTATCATAAGAGATTTCTCCATGCTTTCCTTAATGAAATTATCGCATAATCCTTGTTCTAATCCTTTCGATTGACTGTGATCTAACTAGCTCTAGTCATTGATCACTTGATGCTCATTTACTCACGTAACACCCACTAGATCAATCTCAACTCAATTGATAATGAGCTCATGGGATTTCATGTGTATTACCTCATTTTCACATTGAGAAGAGTGTTACGTAAGAGAGAAGAATCAATATAAGTATTACTTTGGTATCAGCGGAGGATATTCACAACTACGAAATCTGGCTGTTGATTCCAGTTTTGTTTTTACTTCAACAGATTTCTGTAAAATTGAAGTTTTTGAATGAAAATAAGTGAAAAAATGTTCAAATGAATGCTTTCTCTCAATAATTCTTTCGAAAAAAACTTGAAAAGGAGGTTACAATAGTAATTGAGCATCCAAGAACATATAATAAGATTATGTTGTAGTTTTGGATGGTTTTATATTGGTTTGATATTGTTCGTAATGACTTTAACTAAATGAAACAAAGAAATGTCGTTTTATATGAACGTTTGAAGATCGAAGAGTGTCAGTTAGATGGAGCAATCTGTCCTTAAGGAAAGTGACCTCGGATTACTCCATTACCTTTCCCATCAGGCCATTCCTTTGTAGAAAAAGAGGGAGAGGCGAGGGGAAGAGGGAGAGTAGCAGAGAGAGAAGTTAGATTCAACAGATAATACATAACAATGAGATTTAGACAAACGAATGAGTTAGAGAATGGCTAGTATATGATCAGCCGATTGCACCTTACATTAGTACAGACAAATGTGGAATATGGTTAGAAGAACATAAACTTGTATGAGACAAAGGAGAGAAAAATGAAAAAAGGATGAAGACTATATGGAATAGAGAGAGATATACATGAGAAGGAGATGAAAATAATATAAAACACAGAGAGTACAATACAACAAAAGCATTTGAGGTAGAAAGAGGTTGAAAAGAAGAACGAGGATGGTTCGTCATCTGGCTATTCATTTGACCATTTATTGATTTTGTCCTACCTGGTTTTAACCCAAACATGGAATATTTTTTTATATTCAGGATCATCTTCTTTCGTTCATCTTTTTTCTTCCATCCAACGTTCGGAACTTTTCAAGTTTTTTCTCCAACATCTTATCGTAACGAATACAACTCATTCGAATGGTTTCATTTGAAAATGAGCGCTTTCTTCTGATTCTCTGTAAATATCCCATGCTATATCTTATTATTATTTACTTTTAATAAATAAAACAGTATAATATACATATAGTAATACGATATTTTATAAAATATTATGGATTTTTAATTAGCTTTACATCTAATTAGCATAGTCAACAGTATTTTCATTATGACGTTTGTACGTGAATCCGTGAATACGTGAATCGGCTGAGATCATTTTTATTTTTGATTATCGCGTATGCAGAGTACGGTTGTGTTTCTCAAACTTTAGACATTTTCGCCAAATCTTCTCATAAGATGTTTAACTCATAAATCATTATTGCCTTTTGACACTGAAATCTGTGAGAATTTCAAATTTTGAAAGATATTCCTCACATCTCTTGATGGAAAGCCAAATTCATTCTTTTGAATGTGCAAATCAGAGCATCAGATGGTTGATCCTTCATCAGAAGTGTCTTCTGTCGGTCCACTTGGTCGTCAATTAATTCCTTTGTTCTCTCATTTTTCCGTCTTTTAACGTTTTTGAGGAAGATTTTTGATTGTTTTTATTCTGAGATACGCTTTCGTCTTCATTTTTTTTTCATCCTCTACCAACATTTCTTGTATTGGACACATACAGTTCGAATAGCTGAGCATATTCTAATTACCACAAATTGGGTGCTACTAGTCAATTTTTAGTCTTTAAGCTATCCTTACTTGTTATTATTGACTTCAATCGTTCTTCGTTTCTACTGAATAAATCTGTATTGAGTGTTTTATGTCCTGTTTTTTCTCCTTACAATTCACCATTTTCCATTTAACTCTTTCTTTTCTATTCGAATACTGTATCCTGATGCTCTTCCATCTTCAAGCTTTTCATTCAGTTCCTTGAAGTATTATTCTCACACAAGCGAAAGATGAAATCTGCAAAAAAATAATGTTTTGACTGCATTTTATATGAAAAAAAAAGCTTTTGTTACCACCTCGGCTACTTAGCTTTACGCCCGATTTAACCTCAACTCAAACGCTCAGCCTTTGACGGTAGTCTGTTCCGAAACGTGAAAGTTTTTTTCGCCATCAATTAGCCCTTTTTCAATCCGACAGTCATTTCCTTTCATTTTCTTTCTCATTCAACTGTCGCCCCCGTTTATTCCATTTTTTTTGTTGAGATTTCAGTCTAATTCGTCTGTTTTGATGTTTTTTTTTCTTTTACAAATTTGTGTTCAACGTTCTCATCTTCGTCGCATCTTACCTTCTATCAAATTTCTTTACAAGAGCAAATTACCTTTTGTTTTATTGACATTAGATATTAGAGGCAATAAGCTCGTTTCAAAATATTCGTTCTCCCTTTTATGGAGAGTTGCTTAAAGACTAACCTCCTCACCATCAATATACCTTTTCCCATTCACATCATTCTGCCGAAACTTAGATTTTTAAAGTTTGAACTTTACGATCACAGACTAACCATGTCACTTCATGTCATCTTAATGTCACATTTCCGAACAAAATATTAATAAATTCCAATAAACTCTAAACTCTAAACTGTTTCGGATGGTGTTTTCTGTGTTATTTCTGCTCAAAAATAAATCATACGATAAACGAGTCATTCTCTGACGATCATAAAGTTATTTGTTTATTCCTTTCAGAGGGTTTTTTATTGATTGAATAGTTTATCTACTCTATTGATTTTCATCCATATTTGCCCTTCTGGACAAAGATGAGAATCGATTTGAAAATTCATCGAATATTTTTACATTTTTCCTTTTCTTTTCATAATTCTTCAAAAGACTTTTTCAAGTTTCATCGTTTCATATTCTTCAGGCTTTACCGGATGTTAGATCATCCCTACAAAGCTTCAGTTCTTCTGTTAGATGGGCAAATAATTGAGCTCCTGTTCTCCGCTAATTCATCCATATTTGATATTCTGCCGTCCATTCCGACATCAACAAAATCAGATGATGCCCGTCTCATTCATTATGCTGTTCATGATGATCTGTAAGTTTGAATTCATATTTGGAGAATTACCTATGGTTGCAGGAATCACTTACATTGGCTAACAGATGATAAACGTCTCATAGATTTCGTAGATGTCCAAACAAAAACAATTTGTATACAACAACATATAAGGTAATCATTGAATGCTTTGAGTTTTCCAAAGTTTTGATTTGAAGGTATTTCGTTGATTCGGTGCTTTCTCTCAATGATCCAGTCGTTGTTGAGCTATATTTCCTCGAAGCTCTACAACAACTTAATAAGGTAGTTGTATGAAAAAGATGTGTACACATTGAAATGATTCAGAATGTTCTTGACTTATCACAAAAAGATTTGATTCGTATAGCATCTTTACTATTACAAATATATTCAGGAGACTATAACAAGTGTGTATTTCATTATAAGAAGCATAGTTATCGTATTTATTTAAGAGAACAACATTTGTACGAGCAAATAGAATCTGTCCTTCCTAATTTGGAGTCAATTCTGATAAGACAGGAGCTATTGAAAGAAGATTTCATAAATGAACTCACAATGGAGTATAATGATTTGATTGGAGAGAAACGTGGAACGTGTATGCTCCGGTTTGTCCCTGTTTGACTTTTCCTATCATACTCGTTCTATTAAGATTGATGAAAATACTAGAAAAATGTGTTCGGTACGGCTGTCGATATTACCACATACGGGAAGATGGTGACGGTGGCGACACGTGTGTCTTAGCTATAAACACAAATGGAATTCTCGTCTACAATGAAATCTATTCTCGTGAACCTAAGAACGTGAGTAATCCCATCATGCTTCAAACGTACACCATTTTCCTTTTTCAAGTTTTTCCATTGGCAATTCATGGATAACATCTACTATCGAAACGATAAGTTTTGGATTGAGATACGAGAAACAAGAAGGTTTTTCCATATCTAAACTGCTCATCATACTACATTCATATTCCAGAGCTGCAAGTGTCATTGGAACGGACGCCAAATCTTTTCTGGAAACTCAAAGTACCGATGATGCTGAATTACTGAAAGCTGTCAACGATCCAACCACTCAGTTAGTTTTCCATTTTCTTTTCCATGTTGCCTACTTTTTCGTCTTCTTCTTGGAATTAACAATGTTTCTTCTTTCGCCATAAGCTTCACATATACCAATAAATCATCATGTTGATGATTCTCATTAACCATTATTGTCAAAACTGGAAAAGATCATAAAACGATCACATATTCCAAGATAGTCAAGTCTTGAATGTGTTTGATTGTGTGAGAATCATCAATTAGATCATACTGTATTCCTATATTAGCATAATCACGTTTCACGTTAACTATCACGTGGACAGTGTTAAAGATTAGGAAAAATCATTTTTGCTCATCGGTTGGTAGAGAACGGTTGCTAATTGCATTCCTCATTTTCATTCCAAAAACATCAGAACATCTCTCTAACACATTCTCTCAACTTTTCTTTTGTAAAACGCATTTCTGCGCACTTTCTCATCTTGCGTTGAAATTATTTTGATTTGTTGATTTAAGAATTTCAAGTATCTATTAATCTCTTGAAGAGAGAGAGAGAGAGAGAAAGAGAGACATTAATGACCAATCGAAAAAGGAAAGGAAACTTATCTCCATTTCGACAAGGAATTCGCGAAACCGTGGGAAGCAGGAAAAGAACATTAAACGATAAAAGTGAATGAAATAACGAGAGGCAAATGTCATCGCTTATTTCTAAGATCTTCCAAGAGAATTTTTCTTTCGCTCTCACCGTCTCTTGCTACATCAATGTCTCTCTTCTTGTTTCTATCCATATAAGCATTTTTCATGCGAAATTATTGCTTTGAACATGAAATAATCGTTTTGTGGAAGCCGCTCTCTGTGAAGCACCTCTAATCGCTATTTGTTTCAACAAAAAAAGAAAAGAAGAAACAAATAAATAATTCATTTGAAACATACTCTCTGTTAATATTAAATTTGAATATAATTTGAATCTAATTTATTATAAAATCATTTTAATTGAACAGAAAGTAGAATAAGCACGTGCGTACTGTCAGTCATATTTCAAATTTTAATGTATTCCATGCTTGTCTTCATTACTCTTGACCCTTCTTTCACAAGCATTCCTCTGTACTATTCATCAGCGGATATATATTTTTCCATTTCTACTGTTCAGAAATGGTTTTTATTCAAAAATTGTCTTCGCTTATCGTTTAGCCTCCTTTGTAACAAATTCTTTTATGATTTTTATTCTTTTGAAACCCATTAACCATCCATCTCATTCATGTGATCATCACAACCAAACTGTTACGGTTTTATTCCTCATCATTTTCCATTTTTAATTGAATTCTTCATTTGAATTTTCTTTTCCTTTTTGTTTCCATTGCCAGCATCCGATTCCTTTTTCATTTCTCTTATCCAAGTACTTCCTTCGTCTATCCTTTTTCTCCGTATGTGTGGCATTTTTCAAATTCACCACCACCAAATTGAGATATTTCAAATAATTCTTTCTTTTTTTTTGTTCTCCTTCATCCTATCCGAACCAATGTGTTTAGTATTGACATTTTATTTTTCTTTTTTTCCAGATTCTCAATACCACGCAGATCACTGACAACACCTTGTGTGAACGTTTATTCATTTCGTTGTGATTCTTCTATGCTCTGTAAAACAATCTGGCAGACAGCGATCGCTCAACACCGATTTTTTCTGGAACAGACAGCTAACGTTAGTTTATTTATATTTTTTTTTGTTTTTCATCATCTCCTTTACAAAATAGCCTAATAAGGGCGCTCTTTTTCTATGAAACTGAGATGCAGCCGCTTACCTTTTTTTAATCCGTTTGACCTTGCCTGATTAGTCTAAGGATTCGCATTCGTCTCCATGGCTAATATTATCTCTTTTGGTCTATTTTTTTCTATTTCTGCTCTCAAATTGTAGTTTTGACTCTTCCCACACTATAATTCTAGTGTATATGACCTAATGTGCTGAATATACAATTGAATCTCTGTTTCTCTGTCTCTCTTTCTGATTTTGGTCATATGTGGGCGAAGAAACACCTCAGGACAATTTGAACAAAAAACGGCTGGTAGTACGGCTTCCTCCTATAATTGATGATTATCTATTCTTTCTGCTCATCAACAGCTTTAAGACCTTGTTCTCCTTAGATTCACTTGGTTTCTCTTCTCAGATGACCATTTCGTGCCATTCGATGCTGTTCTCCATTATTTTTTGCGAATGAAAAGCTTACAACTATTATCGAAGCTTTTGCCGCTTTTCTAATCTTTCTCTCTCATTGTCTTGTCCTCCTTTCCAGAAATAGCATCTCAAACACTTGTTTTGAATTTTTGTCAAGAATAGATGATATACTTTCTTAGCCTAATTCGATAATTAACATTCACGTGAATTACTCGCGTGAAATACGTTTTCATTTTGAAGCTGCATATGCTAAGCACGGTTGTTCTCTCCCTCTATTTCTTCATCCATTCCTCATCCTTTCTACTTCAATAGTTAATTTGTCTTTCTTGTAAACCTGTTCTCACAATTCAGATTCCTCTCTCACTGCTTTTCTCTGTTTTCGGTGAAAATTCATCGAGAAATGGACAACAAGAGCACAGCTTTGTTTTTGCTTTTTTTTTGTAATTTTTTCACTTAGCAGTGCTTCATTCTTTCTCTCACTCTAAGCTGTGAGAATCATGGAAATCACCAATGTTTTATTGGTTAATGCAACTTGTACTATGACTTTGACTTCAAGTTACATCATAAATGAATTTGCATATTTCCTATTAGGCTTTGGGTTTCCCATCATTCTTCTCTCTAGATGCATATGAAAAGCTTGGTAAAATTGTGAGAAACTGGTTACAGGTGGATATAATCCATATTTTTGTTGCTTAAAGTCACTCAAAAACTTTTGACGGATCTTCTGTGAAGAAGAAATTTATCTGCTGATGCTTTATTGTCTTGAATTGTCTGCTAAGCAACGAAGATGCTGTGAGATTGACGTGTGCCAGTCAAAATGGAATTGATGTTTTATTCCTTTTTTGAACATTCCTCTCCTTGTTCTCGCTAATTCGAAGCTTCATATGATCATTAAGAAGACGTTAATGTCATAACTTGAGTTTCTGATTCTTTTTTTTCTAATTTTTGAAAGTTAAAACGTGAAAAACCTTTCAATTCCCTCAAGCAATTAAAATCTCCAAAACTTCATTTTCAACTTCTGTTATCAGATTGTTGGCACGTTTTTCCGTCATCACTTTTTTATTCTAAAATATAGTTTAATTTTCCAAAGAAAGTTAGTTAAGATCATTGTGGATAAGCCATACTTGGTAAGAGAGATCGTGTTTTGACTATGTGAGTATTATATGAAATTATTTTGCGAAAGTCGGATGTTTGGCTCTCATCAAAAAAAATATAAAATTTCATAAATCTTCTTCGATTGCTTTGCCATCAAGCTTCATCATCTCATTCTCTTTGTTTCATATAAGATCAATGTGTTTATGTTTCATTTGAAGGGAATCACTCCATAAAATGCGATTATTACCTCTTTGATCTTTTCCATCTTCCTCTTTCTCAGCTCATTTCGTTCTCGGGTTTCTTGTTGCGCAATTGACAGCATTTATTTGTTTTTTTTCCTGCACAAGGAAAAAGATCGAAAATGTTATTTTTCAACAAAAAAATATATTTATTTCTCATTCACAGCAGCATCAACTTCAAACTTCGTTTTGTTGGAATCTTCTTCTCCTCCCCCAATGTACTGCACTTCTATACTCTATCGATCATTATATCGTTATATCTATTTGAAAAATATGATTCATATTAGTCAAACTCCTATCCTTCTCTTGCTCTTTCTCTCTTTGCTCTTATAATAGTTTTGAGATTTGTAAGAAAAGAAAGATTTGCATATCTACCGTCTGGACATAAGATTGCATGACGTCAAGCACTTCATCATGAGAAATGATGGAGAAGGTGAGAAAATGTGAGAAGATGAACTTTCTCTTCTAAGTTTTCCACTCCATGACCTTAGATTATCTTAGAAGACAATGAACAGACGTCTCAATCTTTCTCATTCCTAATATAATTTGCATTTGAATTAATAACTTAACGAACTTCCATGTTACGTCATTAGGTCTTAGAGCTCCACCCCATTCTAGTGGCATTAATGAGCCTTAGGAATATATACATGTTCCAAGTAGGTATTTTCATCATTCTCTCCATCAATAAGCAGTCTACTCATTTCTCGTGGAAAATTTTTTTTTCATTCACTGTCTATTTGCTTGCTTCCCTTCATTTAAGGTATTTGACCTTTCTTTTTCGAATTACTCTCCATGCACTTGAGAAGTCTAAATTCAATTTGTTCTTTTTTTTTTTGTAATTCCCCCAACAATGTTAACTTTCTCACTTTCTCATGTTCATTCACTAATTGATCACGTGAACGCCACGTAATGCAATCTCACGTGTACAATTAGAATTTCATTTTTGACATTTGCCAGCTGCGACACGGTTGCTCTTTCCTCATATCAAGTCGGTAAAGGATACGATTTCTGTATAATTTTCACGATTTTTTGAGTATTTCCTTCACGTACTCTGATCGCAAGAGGAGACAGCAAGCAAATAATTTGCCTTTTGCCATTCTGTTGACATTCCCGTTGGCTTCCAACCACCCTTATTGTCCATCAGTCTGTCTCGATCCTTCTATGGTATTTGAGAGAAAAGTAATAGCGTTTGTATGAGAAACTACACTGTTTGTTATATTTTATGGATACTCAAAAAACTCTCTGAGTTCTAATACTATGCTTCCAACGTTACTCCAATCAAATAAGAGAAACGATGATGTTTGACGTCTTTGGCTCTTTATTCACTGTTTTTCCGCTTTTTTAAGCGAACAAACCAAACGTCTCATCCAATACTCTCCAGTTACTTCATAGTTTTTTGCATTTTCTTTATATTAATTATATTCTTATAAATTAATGTCCTGAACATATTTTTTGGCCTGACAGACAATAAAAGCTGTAATTATGCGCCTATTAGGTAATAAGCAGCGTTTTAAGGACACTCACTTGTCTTTTGGGAATCTCATCTTAATTTGCTCTCTCAATATCTCATAATCTCTCATACTCTTTTTATCGCTTTGCTCCAGCTTACAGTCGCACCGGTCTGGCTAACCTAACCATTCTTAGTATGACGTCATATGTCTCAATAGATAATTCCATTTGTAAGAAATATGAGATAACTTATTGTTTCATTCTCTTTTCATATTTTCTCATTGTTACACTCAATTTACATATTAGTCAAGTATTGCTAAAATCTCTATTTTTTTATTTTCACTAATTGTGATTATCGTTCCCAGACTATCTAAACCGCATAACCTTCTAAGGTTACTTGAGAGACAGAGAGAGAAAGAGGAATTAGCGGAATAAAAAACATAAATAAAACAAAATCCCCTCCTTGAACGTCCTCAATACAATGCCTAATCAACCGGAAATAACCGCATCTCTTTTAATTCGTCCTCAACCTCTACAAACGACTTTTCTTGTGTTGATTTTGGATTGAATGGATTCGTAAAGTTACAAAAGCATTCAAAAGATGATGATTGTTGTCAAAATCAATATAATACTTTGATAAGAAATATGAATAATTTGAGAAGAAATTCATGTTATTCTGAATGTTCTGTCCTTTTGCCCTATCACATCTCATGTTGGAGAGCATTGAATGGAGGAAGCGTAACATGAATACTGTGTTTTCATCTTCTCTAATCATTATACTTTTGTAATTTTGATTTTTTGCTCTTTCGTCAGTGAGCTTCTAATTTATGCATATATATTATGCTAATGAAGTAGATAGATTAGATGATGTGCTGATTCTTCTCATATTAGTCGACGATCCAAATCTCCTCATAATACAGTCAGAATTTTAGGCTATCGTCACTCCTCATCTTCTTCTTGTCTTTTGCTCTTTTCCGTTTTGTCTTTTGCTCTTCTTCGTCTTCTTCACCAATTGCTTCTCTTCATCATCATTTTTGATGTTTGTGTACATCAGTGTTCTGTTTGTTGTTGGACTTCTCATCGCACTGTTGCTCATACCTCTCCCTCTCTCTTTCAGTCCTGTTTCTTTTCTCCATCTAAGCCGTTCTTTCTCTCCATCTCTCTTCATCTTCTGCTATCACTTACACTTTCCTTCTGAAGAGTTTCATTGAAAGAACTAAAGAATAAGCTTAAAAGTAATAAGTCCCTCTCTTCCTCACTCTCTTGCTTAACCTCTCTTTCTCTATTTGTGGTGTCTCTTATTATCTCATTCATATAGTATCTCTTTGAACATTCTATTATAAACACTAGCTTCTTCTACCCTACAATCAACAGCAATATAATTAGGGAGATGAATATACGTTATCATAAACAAATCTCATTTGTTCATAATTATGGCCATCAATAGAAAGAAGGTTTGGGGGTAGTTACAACGCACCAGCTTTTCCTTTCATAAACGACAATACAATCAAGATTTTTGTAAAATGTTCGTCAAGAGGATTACAGAAGATAGAGCACAGTCAAAACAGAAAGAATGAACAGATAGCTGCGAGGTTGTGAGAGGATTAGGAACCACACGAAGGTGAACACGATTTGTGCAATTCCGTGTGATTTCTCTCTCTCTCTCTCTCCTTCACTCTTCTTATCTTCGTGTTTCTTTTTCTCTTTCATCTCTCAATCTTTCTCTCTATCTATGTTTCGCCAATC